GGGATGGGTCAGACGGGTACCAACCATCAACAGGACAGAAAACAGTTGTATCTCAAAAAATACTTTTGATCTTTTTCTAATTATATTTTTCTTTCATGATAGCAATTTTATTCATCGGTTGTTTTATGTAAACTTTTGTAACTATGTATTCAGCAGAAGTATTTCAGTCCAGTGTGTGAGCTACAGCTGCATCACGCTGCTTATTGTGCTGTTTCAGTCCTAAAGGTCAGAGTGTCTGCCATGTCTCTGCAGACACTCTGACGCTACCTTTGTGTTTTCTCTGAAGACAAATGCTGGTTTTGTAAGTAGTTTTTGAGACATGTGAGTACGTCTGTCACAGACACTGAAGGAGGTTTGCTCATGCATTGGGACGGAGAAGCTGGAAGCACTGCATGCCGTTACATGGTGTAACAGCGCCTCCATGTGGCAGACAGTACATACGCTAAGTCTCTGTTAAAACAAACTATAATTCCAGTAAAAAGTAACTTTGATATAAAGAAATAATCGATACATTTTACTGTTGTTTTTCTTTTCTCTTCTTTGTTTGAAGAGTCTCCTTTCTTTATTAAAGGCATTTCTATACTTGAGCATGGCTGACTGACATACCACATGGAAATGTTGATGATCACTAATAAAAATATTTCCTCTGGAAGCTTTCAAGGAATCTCTGTACACATGTGTGCACAAATATGTTATTAAATCGTTTTAAAAATACTCGCTTTTTGCATATTATCACTCTCCTCAAACAGACCACCCTGAACCCATCCAGTGCATCTCTAGAGATGTCCTTACATGCTATTCTGTGTGGAGTTTTTCTATAAATATAGAGATCTGTATTCCTGCACAATGACCTTAAATATATTTTTAATTAAAAATGAGCAGAAACTTATATTCTTTAACTCTAAATAAACTGAGAACGACGGTGTGAAGATAAGGATTCCAGCAACAAACAAAGAAAGCAGATGAGCTCATACCTGTAATAAGAGCTGAAATTAATAAATACTAATTTCTTCTATTATGTATGCACGTAGGATGTGTTTGCCTGTTGGACGTGTGTGTGTGTGTGTGTGTGTGTGGTTGTGGACAATTTCCCCCAGATTTTCATAAAGATCTCTCAAAAAAAAGAAGGGATTTCTGAGTGTCTAGAACTACAGAGGCAGCAGACCCGAGAGGCCCGAGAGAAATACCTCATAAATCTAAAGGCCATTGCAAGTTTTTCACCCTGGTGAGAAAGAGTTAGGACGGAGGAGAGAAGAAGGAGAGGAGGGAGAGTGACCAGGAGAACCCCAAAGCTCAGAGACACAAAAGTCTTCTACCAAACGGGAGGGAGTCAAATGGACCAAACGGAGGTGTGGAGGAGCGCCGGTGAGCGTTAACGTGGATCATCTGGATAAAGCGAAGGATCTGTACCACTAAAGTGTCTTCATGCAGGTAGAAATCTGGACACACAAGAAGACTTTTGACTGGATGTAGTATGATGATTCAACCCGCACTCGGTGCAATCGAGACGAAAAAAAACAACCAAAAGCGCTCAGGGTTTTTCTGTATGTGTTGAAAGTGACATAATGAGACTCTGCCTGGAAGTGTCAGCAACTCAAGTCCTGATCCAGCACATCTCTGCACTGCAGGAGCTTTAACGCAGTTTGTCAAGTTGAAAGGCAGCGTAACCAACTCGCCACTTTTGGAGACAGACGGGGATCATGGCTCGATTGAGGACTTTATTTTTGGGGACAAGCGCTACAAGCTACAGGAAGCTGCGTAGTCACTGAAGCTGCTGGCCATGTCAGTGCTGTACTGTCTCTTGCCACCTATTGCCCATTAGTGCTGTTTCTTTGGATTTATCTCCAACAATTTACAGAATTTAACAAAGTTGTAAAAGAAATGCTTCTCCCCTGGATTGTGCTGGACGTACCTTTTAAAAAACGATCATAATCCTCAATCCGTGTTTTGCATCACTGCCTGAAATGTTCGTACAGACTTTAAAACCTTTTCCAATTGAATGCAGGAGCCAACCGTGAAACAGCTCCGCGTGAATTGGCTCTGAAGCGTCAGGGCCTGACCTCTGACCTTTTGATCTGTGACCCTGCAATGAACTGCACTTCTAATGCCACCATCACGCCACAGCTGGACCTAGTCCTGAGCCCAGGGGCTGGAGATGGAGGGTCCCAGGAGAGCGGCGGCGGAGGCGGCGAAGGCGGCGGGGGCCTCTGGGTGACGTTCCTGCTCGGTGCCACTCTGATGATCATGTGCGCCATGGGCGTGGTGGGCAACACGTACACGCTCATCATTACCCGCTCGGCAGCTTTGCGCCGGACAGGTTCCATGTACGTTTACATCATCAACTTGGCTCTGGCAGACCTGCTCTACCTCTCCACCATCCCCTTCGTGGTCTGCACCTATTTTGCGCACGACTGGCTGTTTGGCGAGGCCGGCTGTCGCATCCTGCTGAGTCTCGACCTCCTCACCATGCATGCCAGCGTCTTCATTCTGGTGGCCATGAGCCTGGAACGCTACCGCGCCGTGGCAAGGCCCTTCAGCGCTCACAGGTCCTCGTCCCGTAAGCGAAGGCTGGCGGCAGGGATTATCTGGGGGTTGTCTTTCATGCTAACGCTTCCCATGATGGTGATGATCCGACTCAGCGAGGGCAAACCAACCGCGGCTGGTTTGGTGAAGAGGATCTGCTTCCCTACCTGGACCCCTGAGGCCTTCAAGGCTTATCTCACCGTCCTGTTTCTAACAAGCGTTCTAGTTCCTGGATTGGTAATCGTCGGGCTGTATGTGGGGCTGGCCAGCCGCTACTGGGTCGTGCAGGCTAGTTTAGGAGGCAGCAGCCGGTCCGCCCGGAGGAGAGGACTCAAGCAAAAAGTTGTGTCAATGATCTTTTGCATTGTTGTGGCCTACTGGGCTTGTTTCTTGCCCTTCTGGGGGTGGCAGCTAGCCAAACTGTTCTCTCCAGAGTCCCTGAAGTCTTTCTCTCCAGCCGTTCATAATTACGTGAATTTCTTCGTGACGTGCCTGACCTACGGGAACAGCTGCATCAATCCGTTTCTTTACACTCTTCTGACCCGGAACTATAAAGATTACTTGGCCCAGAAAGGTCAGTCCGTGGGTTCGAGCAGGGCCGACCCCGTGTCAGCTGTGACGACGCCACTGCAGGAGCTCTCGTTGACGAATAAATGACGACTGAGCGACAAAACGTTGTGCTGCCCATCAGCCTGAGAGAGGACTTTTTTTTGTAGTAGTAATTGTGTACAAAAGTGGAAAATATTTGTGAGACGCTTGTTATCTCAGGTGGCATTCTCTACAAACGTTGTCGATGCTGCAAACATATTGGGTGTGATGCGACACAGTTCCTGCTCTGTTTAACCAGAGCTGTGAAGGATTCACAGGAAGTCAGCACAGCAGGTGGATGTTTGCTGACATGAAAGTCTGACTGCAAGTCTTCTGGTTCTTCTGTTTTATAATCTAATACTTATCCCCACATGTACAGTACCAATGCCTGTCTAACAATCTCCACATCATGACATATATTTGAAAGCATCTATAAAACTACTGATATTTGGGTTCAAATGTGAGTTAAAAAGGTTTCACTAGCCTTGAACAAGTTATAATATGGAAAATATTATACTGGTGGCAAGAATTCATCATGTCACTCATATACTTCACAATTACTCTGAACATTGTGATGATTTGAACAAATTAAATGTTAACTGCTTCATTTTTTTCCCTTCACTCGTCTATTTGCCATCCAGGTGACACACACACACACACACACACATTCACACACACATGTAAAGGATGATTTCATCGACTCTCTGGGAATGTGGTCGCACCGTGCCACATTCCTCGGCCTCGAGCCACGGCTTCTTGGAGTCCTCCTGCAAATTGTCTCTGCGAGAATGTACTTCATGTCTCCTCTGTCGTACACGGTCCCTCCTTTTTTCATCGTCCTGTTTCATCCTCTATAATCTGCTCTTTACTTGCAGCAGCTACAGTATGTTATCCACATTCAGGATCAATTCACAGCTCGGTTCAAATCTTTCCTTTTTTTAAATTTGTTTTCTGAAATGTTAGGCTTAAAGCTTAAAGTTATGCATCTAATGCTAACTACGAAATACAGACACCAATACAGGAAGTAGTACGTTACCTAAATGTGTATTTTTGATGTTTTTTAGTCTGAAAAAAGGTGCATGAAATAGCGATGTTTTTGCCTGCAGTCTTGCTTTAAATGCATCTTGACAAAATCTCTTTTTAGATAGATAGATAGATAGATAAATGTAGAGTTAAGAGAATTAAGACTCATTATTGGAGGTTATTAGTGTGTGTTGGAGAATGAGAGAAATAGACAGAGACACTTTTCTTTTCGTCTCAGTATTTATTAACAAACCCAGTAACGGATGAGACCTCGAGCAGACACAGTGAGGTAAGATGTGCTGTGGCTCCCTCTTTAGGTCATTTCATCTCATTACAGCATCAGCACTCCTTGTTGGTGTACATCTCAAGTGTTATTCTTACCACACGCCTCAGCTGGAGAAAGGATGAATTACAAGGCCTGGGTTCAGTAATGTACAACAGACTATTAGAGCAACACACACACACGGTGGACAGGTCAAGAGTCAAGAAGTTCTACTTGATCTTGATGCCGATGATCCTCGCGTCGCCGCTGACATCAAAGTGCTTGTACTTGACGTCTCCCAGTCGGTTGGGGAAGTTCAGCATGGAGCCATCAGGAAGCTTGAGGTAAAACTGCTCGTTGTTGAAGTTGATGTAAAACTGTCGAGGACAAAGAGAGACCGTGCCACGTTCAGTTGATTTCAGACATTGAAAAAGATAAGAGGATGTAAAAAGAATGACTGAGATAGATGAACTCTCTTTCTCTTTATGAGCCCATAAAGCCCCACATGATTGGACAGCTCAGCGTCTGTTGACTTAACAGTGTTGCAGCACAGACACCGAGACCAGAATTAATAACCTCTTTATGGCCAAAGACATGGTGGAGTTTGAGCTTGAGCCAAATGACTACAATAAATACAGCAACTGTAATCTAATGGTCTTCAAAAGAGTAAGCTTTAAAATACAGCAGGTCTGTGTGTGAACTTCAATCATCCCCCAAAAGCGGCTTTGAGCCTTTGTTGTCTCAACAATGATAAAACCAGAAGAATGCAACGTAATTCTATGCCTGACTTTGTATTTGTAATTAGATATTTGTCACTTTAGTTTGTGCAGAATTCGATGTAAAAAGACTGGAGCACAATTTAAAGGCAGCACCACATCTGTCTACCTTTTCTTTGGAGATATGATTGCGTGAACTTTCTTTTACTCTTGAATTAAACAGAAGTGGCTTAAAGTACGACTGACGAACCTCTGAAAGCAGAAATAACTTCTTCTTCCTCTCACAAACGAAACGGTGAAACATCAAGCAATAAAACGCACCCGGCCTCAATCGAAACATACAAGGTTTTGCTGATACGACCTTTCTTGGTCGTAGTATGAGTAGGTTTTATATTGAAAAACTTTCCCTGGGGGGAGACAAGCGGTTAAAAAATGTGTGGCGTCATCAAAATGTAAAGTCTATGAGCCGAGCGGGAACTCGCGGGCGGAGAAACACAGTTGCTCATAGTCAGCGAGCCACACACCCTGAAAGTAAACCCGGAAGTTAGAAAACTTATTGGAAGTATGCCCCAAGCGAGCAATTCTCATTGGACTTAATAGACATCTTGGGGTCCGGTGTCTAGTTCTTTCTGTACTTCCATGGCCTGAACCAACGTTATCTACGTGTCATTGTGCGTTTCTGCGAGCGTGATACAAGGCTGATATGAAAGCTATCTATAAGGTATAAGGTTCAGAAACATTCAACGTATCTGTGGTCTGCAGAAACCTTCAATTGCAACACTTTTTTTCTGCCGGCTGAGTCGTTGGTATCGGGTTTAACCGAATCATTTGAGATTACAGACTATATTATTGACTCCCTCACACTCTCCCAACACACCTTGCATTCCTCCCCACGCACGAAGGGGAAGTTTCCCTCGCGTTGCTCGTCTCCCCAGCTTCCCCCGGACAAGGAGTTGAAGACGATGACGTTGGTGTCACCATTGCTGTCGAAGCGTGGGTTGAAGTGCAGCGCGATGTTGTCAGAGTCGTGGCCGATGTTGATGGAAAAGCTGCAAAGGGAGGCAGGAACACAGAGGTCAAAAGGGTGCAATGAAAAAGGGAAGAAGTGGGTGAAACATTAAACTTCCTCTTGATTAAACGAATCATTGACTACTTGATCCCTTTAATGGGAACTTACTAACTGCAGTCGTCCTTGGGCTTGATGCGGATCTTGAACTCTTGCCCCTCCTTGAATGTCATGTCTTTGATTTTCTGCAAAGAGAGAAGACAAAGAGGAAAATGCGAACTGGATGGATGGATGGATGGATGGATGGATGGATGGATGGATGGATGGATGCGTCATAACTAAAATGACCGTTAGAGATTTGAATTGAACTTCACTTCACACAGAATATTGACTATTAAGGAAACAACTTGTACATGAGAAAATGAGCCAAACTATTTGTCCTTTTCATTTTATTACAACTAAATAACTGAGATCAGACCAACAATCGGAGGAGAGCTTTTACAGGAAGTCGGGCTGAATGTGAACTATTCGCTCTGTTCCTCATGGTCATCCTTCTGCATTAAAAACTGCCCATTTTGTCAGTGAAACTAAGTTGCGCTGACATTTCAGTCAGAAGATAGCCGAGCAGAAGAATATTTAATTGTAGAACGGTCTTTGACATATAATTGACATACTTTGGAGACAAACAGAGATGATTGTGCGGGGTAGTCGATGGCGCTCTTCTCTTAGCTGTTGATGATCAACCAGAGTGGATCAATGCCATCGGCTGTAAAAGTAGAGAAACAGGAAGGCGCCGTATTTGTACCTCGACGTGTGGTCGTCGTATACGGACAATAAAACCATAAAAAGACGCCTGCGCATCAACCGTCTGCCACAGTAGCCCTACAGACACTAGATAGATATATACATGTACCACACCTCTGTAATATGTGTGTGTGTATGTGTGTGTGTGGCGTAGCAAACCTGATAAAACACCTATCTTATCTAACCCGACCATGAATGTTCTTCATAGTCAGTTCACTTGTTCATCCTAATCAATAAAGCAATACATTCCATTCACTACTGTTCCTCCTACCTATCTGCTGGGCATCACCTGAAAAGAGTTACACATGAACTGCAGTATCCTGACCCCAATAAACCTGCACCACACCTATAGATACCTCAGTCTATGCCACCTACAATACATTCAGTCAGGCCTCATGCCTTATCTCTGATCAATACTGGTTTATCATGGACTGCAGGCCGGATGTTGGAGAATAATTAAGTTCAGTTACGGTGTATTAATCCCTGCATTGGTTTGACTCACCCTGACTGTTCAGGAGCAGTGTGCAACATCCCAGACATATTATATCGTACAATACATATTCTCACAGGGATTAAAGAGGCTCAGGACTTTCTACTGTGAGGAAGCCGAGTTAACAGCTGAGCCAAGTATTTAGATTTTAAGTGAAGAAGTGTCATTTAGGATTATGGGAAGCAAAGCACTTCCTGAGCAGAGATATATGGAGATGTTAGATTTGTCAGCTTTGGTTTTGATCTACACATCTGTGACACCCTGTACACGTGAGAAATTCTCACATGTCCCTCTGAAATGAGTGTTAATGATTGACAAGATAGAATAACTAAACCTGAAAAAGTAGACGGGCACTACCAAACACTTGAGTTCAAGCTGTCAGCACTTTTACAAAACATAGCGAATAAGTGTTAACAGCTCTGCAAACCTCTTTAAAATGGACCACTTCTACCTTAAGAAAGCTAAAACGTAAGACATACAGCATCTCTTAGAAATGTAATGTAGCACATCGAACATTAACGTTACATCAAAGACTGCGGCTGTAAAAGTCTGAGACGTTTGAGGAGAAACCTTCTTGTTCTGAGCTCAGTATGAAGGTATAACTGAGATAAGGAGTGACAGGATGAATGAATGCAGGTGTGTGTCCATGTGGAGAGTGAAGATCTCTCCTGTGAATGGAGCTTACCATCTTGGCTGTCTTCAGTGGGTTGTACCTCCAATGACAAAGCTCTGCAGGCAGGTGAGTGGTTTATATAAGAGCGGTGACGCTAGGAGGAAGCAACCAACAAGGAAAGGGTTGTAAAGGAAAAAAGACCAATCGCACAGGTCGATATTTGACCCGAAATGGAACCAATTATTGTTCCGCTTCATGTTACAGGATGCTGGCGGTTTTGGATCGTCACTCAAAAGCATACGTATTAAGTGGCATTGTTTACAATTACAATTAAGTCATATTTTTGTTCACTCTGTCCTCAGAATGAACCACAATCACTGGCTACTTATTGGCTCACGTTCGTCAGTCGGTTACCTGCACTGCCTGTATATGATAAAGTAGATGCCTTGACTTCTGGGGGCCCATGAGACCATTTATGATAGTGTTGCTGAGAAATATTCAATATATTTGAAACTGTTGACAGCTGACTTTTGAGGGAGAAGTGGCTGCTGTGTATTAGTTTGCATTTGGTTTGCCTCATTTTATACTGTGATATAATAACAATGAGTTAATTTGATGCCTATTTGGAAACTGACTCAAAACCACAATAAATATATAATACATATATAAATACAAATGCATTGGAAATTAAACTAAACAAATTATAGATACAATCTGTTTGTTATGAAAAAATAATATCATACTACTGTGTTGATATTTAAATAGCAGATACCTAAATAGAACATCATATTTATTAACAATGTATGCAGTATATACGGTTTGCATAAAAAACTTGGCTCGAATATTTGTAATGTCGAAATTGCAAAGCATGTTGATATGGAAGATGTATGTTAATATGCACATACATAATTATCATCAGGCGTTCCACATTCAAATATATGCAAACAAACTGGAACCGGGAAAAGGAAAGATGAAAGGGGAAAACACCCAACCAAATCTATTCACAGAAGAATTCTCTTTTTCACTTGCTGTACATATTTAATGGAACTTTTAAAACTATTAAGGTACTATAAGCGTTTCCTCTTCTGTTCCACTACAATTATTCATTTCAGTATACGTTGACTAAAGATGATTAATCAATTCATTTATTGTTTATTTTCATTTGTGTGTCACACCTACATTTATTCAGAATAATCCTCATTTTCAAGTTAGTTAGTATGAATATGTCATAGCGGAGCGCGTGTGGGTTTCAGTGTCTGAAAATAGGTCAGGATTTCACGGAGCACCCACGCTGACGTATGGGGCACGTCATCACAGTGGGCGTTACTTTGAGTAGTGTAGCCAATCTCCTGTCTCTATTCTATGGTGGGCGTGTCGTACATTCAGTGGCCAGAAACCCGAAGCTAACCAGAATAGAAAACTAAGTTAGCTTTGTCAGCTAGTTAGCAACTTCTGGTACGTCTTCAGTTCATAACGGATTTACATATATAGTTCGTCATTCGCATGTTGAAGAGTTTGAAAACGTAGTTGACGGCTATGGCGATTAATTGTTTTTAATGTGCTCCTCATTCTAAGAGGGTTTGGTTATGTTTGGTTAGCATAAGCTAGCTAGCTAGCTGTGGTAAACAACCCTTTAACTTTATGTGTCTTTGCTAATGGCTAAAGGCTAGCTAGCGTAGCCTAACGAATGAGATACGTTTGTTTATTTATTTTTTGTTTTGTTTTTCTCCCTCTGTAGAAATGGCGTCGTTAACGGCGACAGAACCAGCGGCATCATGCCCGAGTGCAATACCGGCGGTGGAGTCCATAGTGCCCGCTTGCATGTTTGCACCGGACCGGGGATGTCCCGACGATCCATCCGGCGCGGAGGGCTCTGAAGACGGCGAGGGTGCAAACTGCGAGTCCGAGGATCATTTAGACTTAAGCAACAAGGTAGGCCTCACTGTGAATTTGTTTCTACTAAAAACAAATATATAATATTCCTCTATATAAAGAGAAATGCTGTGCGGTACTATTATAATGTATACATATATTAGTATATATGTATATATTATTAATTACAGAGAATTAAATGTATTATATGTATATTTATATAATATTTACATATATATAATTAATAATATATTAATTTTACGACATATCTGTTGACTGAAAAGCCACACAAAGCACAGTTTGGACTGGCTGTGCAAAAACGTCAGAAAGTAATAATAATAATAATAACTTTATCAGTATAGCACCTTTAAAAACAGTTTACAAAGTGCTTTGACAGACAAAGCAGCTAAAGTCAATAATAACAACAACAGAAAGTTCAATGAGACAGTCGATACGATAAAAATAAACTAATAAATAAAATTATATAAATATATATTTTGTAAAATCAACAAATAAAAATCAAACAGACGACATCACATAAACGTTTAACAGAGATTGCTGAGTAAGTTGCACTACTAACGTATAACTGCGTCCAGCCGTTGGCTTTATCTACTGTACGTGCAAACTTTGCAGTCATTTGAATTTTCAAAACACAACTCTTGCAGAGCACATGGCCTTAAAACAAAAGCCAGCCTTTGTTTTAAGGCCATGTGCTTTACTGGTTGAAGACACCCACATAAAACTTGTCTGGCTCTGTGTTGGCTCTTGCTAAGTTTGTCTCTGTTGTCTCTCCCTCTTCAGCTGGTTCTAGTGAGTCCATCGGGGCAACAGTACGATTCATTACTCCGGCACCTGAGGCAGCAGATAGACGAGGGCTGTGGAGAGACCATCTACGTGGTCGGGATGGGTTCAGGTAAGAGTGACTACATGTGAGCATACATCTGGTTTCATCGAACAGACATAATTCAATCTTCGTCTTTAGTTTAGTTTATTATTTACATGAGTGTGTGTCCAATAAAACCATTGTAAGCTAGAAAGTCTTGCTTAAAGATGAAAGACTTGCTTTAAATCTCACTTAAAGAGTAGAGATTCAGAAGGACACATTCACTGCATGCAGTTGTAGTTATTTTGCTATCCGTCGATGCAGTGAGATGGATTTGTTGTAAGTGGGTCACAGCTGAAAGCTTCCAGTGGTAGATTCAGAAGAGAAAGTGAAGTTTTCCTAGAACCCGATCAGACCTGTACTGATGCTGCTGCGCTGGCCTCACGCTTTCATATACGTATACATCAGCTGTTGTTGTTGCTTCTGCCATCACAGATGATGACATTTCATGTCCAAAACAAATGTTCTAAGATGGGTAGCAGTGTTCATTTCATGAATAAGACTGGAGGGATTTGTCCGTATATTTAATAAAAAGTCACCGTGTAGCCGTGGCCTGGTGCGTCCTCGCGTCCCCGTGTGTTTGCTGTTTGGTTTTCATTCTGAGCTCCTCGGCCACGAGCGCTTTTGTCAGCAACCAGAGTTATTTTTTGCCTGCTGCAGCAACACGTGTGGCCTGTTTTGGTGGGTCGTGTGAAAGGGTGTCTGTTTCCCCCCTGTCAGCACGGGGAATGTCAGTAGTTCACTAGTTCATGTCTGTCTGGCCTACTGACCTGACTGTGGTTTCTGTTTGTTCAGCCCAATACAAGCCGTTCATGTGTCCAGTTAGTGGAATGCTGTTTACATTGAGAGAAGCAACAGTGAGCTCCTTCAACCACAGTAGCTGGTGTAACGAGTTAGGGCCAACTTACGTTCCTTCACTGAGAAACACGCACATTGTAGTGTTTTAAAAACATACACCTCCTGCGTAGTAACCGCTGACAATCTGCTCTTCTTGGATCGAGGCGTTTTGGCAGGCGTGGTGCTCACAGAAGAAGGTTTTCTCATCTCACTCGACTCCCACAAACCACCTGTTTATTTACTCTTTCTTTGACCACCGGCCTGTCATATAGCAGGTTGCAAACATTCCCTTTACATCAGCCCTGACATTGACCAGACGTATCATTCTCTCTCCTGCAGTTACTCTCTTGTCTTCCTCTTAATGCCCTCCTCGTCCATCCTTCTCCTCTCTGTTTAGACGGGGGCGACTACGGTCTGGATGAGAAGGACATGGAGGCGTCGGTGGCCACAGTGCGCTCGCTGTGTGAACAGATTGAGGCCGACCTGATCTTCCTGAGAGAGAGGGTGGACGCTGGCGGGAGGATTCGGGACTACCTCATCCGCCGGCGTGTGGGCGAGGAGGATTTCCTGGAAGTCAGGTAACATTCAGAGGAAAAGTCTTATTTTAGTTTATAATTAGTACCTCAACTGTCGTCTCAGTGCGCTGTGTGGGCTTGTTGTTTATTTAGTTATGATGTAGTTATTCTCCTGTGTTTATGCTGAGGATACATGTTCATTTACACATGAACAGGAACAGAGAGACAGACAATCAACAAGCTAGTGTGTAGCATTTCAAGGGCTCTTTTAGCAGAAGTGTAATATAGTATTCCTAACTATGTTGTTATTGGTGTATAAATCACCTGAAACTAAGACTCATTGTGCTTTATTTAACTTTGAATGAGCCCTTTTATATCTACATAGGGAGCAGGTTCTCTTCACGGAGTCGGACATGTCGCACTGTCGTATTTCTACGGTAGCCCAGAGCGGACAAACCAAAGACTGCATCTAGAGAGAGACTTTCCCGTTCTTGCTTTACTCGAAGGCCGCAGTAGTTCTCCGACACACCTGAGAATGAGGAGTGGATCCTTTTAAAGCCTTTACAGGCAGAGAGAGAGAGGATGTGTACCGGCTTCCCGTCACTGCGCTGATATAACAACTTGTATTCTGTGACCTGCAGCCCTCACTCTTCACCTTCTCCTCCCTGTTGTCTCCAGGGTGGCGGTGGTAGGGAACGTGGACGCGGGGAAGAGCACGCTGCTGGGGGTTTTGACCCACGGTGAGCTGGACAATGGCAGAGGCTTTGCTCGCCAGAAGCTCTTTAGACACAAACATGAAATGGAGAGTGGCAGGACCAGCAGTGTGGGCAATGATATCCTGGGTTTTGACCAGGAGGGACAGGTGAGCTTCTGCCAACGCTCAGGACTTACAGCATGAGCCACGGCAAGTGCTAAATGAAGACAGTGACAGCTCCTCTCCTACCATACATCAAAAACATACTGAATATCTAGCTTTGTTGGTTCCTCAGTGTTGTAGAGATGTGACACCAACGGTGCATCATTAGACTGTACTCTTGTTTTTGTTGCATGAGACCAGAACGTAGATGTAGGTGTTGCATCTCACATTGTACAATATGCAAATGTTTATGGTGTTGGAGGGAAAAGAGGGACTTTAACGCTGACAATCAAGTTTCACGGCCAAACTGACTTAATGTTCTATTTATTCAATATCAGCAGCAGAAACTGAGCTTTCCATTCAGATTAATGTGGAGAAATTACAGAAATATATATATATACTCTGAACTGTTTTATTGCACTCTTGTGTAAATCATGTGCTGTTGTCTGCGTCGTCTCCTTCAGGTGGTGAACAAGCCGGACAGCCACGGTGGCGGCCTCGACTGGACCAAAATCTGTGAGAAGTCCTCAAAGGTCATCACCTTCATCGACCTGGCCGGCCACGAGAAGTACCTCAAGACCACCGTGTTCGGCATGACGGGACACCTGCCGGACTTCTGCATGCTCATGGTGAGAGAGGCGAGAGAGGGTCGGGGGAAGTGTCCTGTTGTTTCATCGTTTGTTCATTTTCTATTCCTGTCCTCTGCAAACCTAAAGCTTCGTTCATACACAGCGCGAGCCTCCGCAGACGGAGAGCGAGCTTACCTTTATACAAACCCTGTAAAGAAACAAGTCAAGTATTAAATGTATTGTAAAGAAACGAAGGTTTAATATCCGGTAAACTGTTTGATTTGGCTGCAAAATATTAACTCGCATGTAGATTTTTAACACTTCCTGTTTCTAAAGCATCTAAAAACAAATTGGCCTTCTCTGTACATCACTGTTTTTATCAGTGAACTATGACTGACAGTCACGTGATCGTGCACCTCGTGCCAAGTTACAAATATTCAGAGGTGCACGACTAAGCACTGCGACCACTTGCGGAGCCTTCTCGCCGGCCGTGATTACGTCATTTTCTGGCGTGTTCATACTCACTACGGTGATCATTAAAGACAACCCCGCTCTGTGTCCCTGCTCCTCCTCTCTCCTGTCTCAGGTTGGCAGTAATGCCGGCATCGTCGGCATGACCAAAGAGCACCTGGGTCTGGCTCTGGCCCTGAATGTGCCCGTGTTTGTAGTGGTCACTAAGATAGACATGTGTCCAGCCAACATCCTGCAAGGTAAAGACACAAACCACTGTTATACTCACACACCTGTTGGGGTTAGAACCCAGAAAGAAGCCATGTATCTTTCAGGGTGCATTGTGTAACGCTTGGCCACCTGCTCAAAGATTAGAGGTTCAGCGTATCCCCTCTACTACTGGGTCCATGCAAGCAGAGCAAGAATACGCCAACGTCAACCAAACAGCTGAATTGTTCTAATCCTCACGCGTGGAGTCGTCCTACTTCATGTTCTAGCTTCTTTAGCTCAGTTAAAGCAAAGCCATAGCAGCAAGAAAACATCAAAGATATATATTGATGCCATTTGGAATGTTTTCAGTATATATATATATATATATATATACACACACACACAATGCACCTTAATAACCAGCACCACATCTCTGCTCAGCCTCTGACAGAGTAAGATAAGTAACCACACAGTAAGAAGTCTGGTATTAGTGAGAATAATGTCTTGCATGGTAAATGAAGTATAATGTTTATTCCCACAGCAGTAATTACGTCAGTACTACAACTTATCTGTTACATACTTAGCATTCTTTTGTTTAAAACTGTGCAGACACCAGTTCCTTCTACACAACAGGAAGTATTCTTCTTAAAATATGATGAAATATTTAGTTAGTGCTTCTATCTCTCATGGAGAAGCATTTGTGAAGCATTTCACCGTTTTATATTATTATTATTATTTTGTCGTGTCAGCCGTTTATTTTTGTTTTCGAGGACAACTCGTGTGATGAATGTTCTGTGGATTTGTCTGCAGAGACGCTAAAACTGTTGCAGAGGTTATTAAAGTCACCGGGCTGCAGGAAAATCCCCGTGCTGGTCCAGAACACAGACGATGTCATCGTCACAGCCTCCAACTTCAGCTCTGAGAGGTGAGGAGAAGAAGAAGAAGAAAGATCCAAAGATGGAGAGAAATGGACATCAGGCTGACGTCTAAACGTCCCTGATGCTAGCAGCGCTTAAACAACACTTGGGCTTCAGTTCCGAGCTGTAGTTTCTGTTTTGTTGCCGTGCGTTCGTCTCGTAGTTACTTTTCTCTTCTCCTCTGACTCCCTCCTCCCTCCCTTCCTCCCTCCCGGCAGGATGTGTCCAATTTTTCAAATCTCAAATGTGACGGGGGAGAACATGGAACTGCTGAAGATGTTCCTCAACCTCCTCTCCTCCAGGACCAACTTCAACAACGATGAGCCGGCCGAGTTCCAGATAGACGACACATACTCGGTGCCGGTACGAAGTAGAAACACTCTACAGATGCTTTTTCTCTCTCCTGGCCTCGCCGGTGAGAGGCTGCTGAGTCAGTGGCAGAATTCAGTACTCTGGTCCTTTCCGGAGTTTGGTTTAATCTCAAATGGGTTTGAAACGTTTAACACGTACCGATGCTGACGGAGAGTCTCTATAGAAGTGTGTGATTGGTGGTTCTCTCTCTACAGGGGGTGGGCACAGTGGTTTCAGGGACTACGTTACGCGGAATGATACGACTGAACGACACGCTGCTCTTGGGCCCGGACCCGCTGGGCACCTTCATCCCCATCGCAGTCAAATCCATCCACCGCAAGAGGATGCCCGTCAAAGAGGTCCGCGGGGGACAGACGGCGTCCTTCGCCCTCAAAAAGGTTTGCTGGGAATCATTTGGCTGAAGAACGTCTGTCAGAGAACATTTGAATGCTTTTTTTAGACGACCGGGCACACGGTTAAGTTGTGTTCTGAAGCTCTTTGGTGTAATATGCATATGAATTAGTTTCCTAGCTTTGAATATATGCAGATCCCAACGAGTGTCTCTTAGTTCTGGATTTTGGTTCCATCACTTCCCCGAGCTCCATTGTTGTCTTCACCGGCTCATCTCCGTGTCTCAGATCAAACGTTCGTCGATAAGGAAAGGCATGGTGATGGTTTCTCCAAAGCTGATGCCACAGGCCACCTGGGAGTTTGAGGCTGAGATTCTGGTGCTCCACCACCCCACCACGATATCCCCAAGATACCAGGCCATGGGTGAGTGTTCACTCTCTGATATGCACCACTTTACGTAGCTGCTATGTGTCTCTGGCTCACCCTGAACCATTGCGCTCTCTCTCTCTCTCTCTCTCTCTCTCTCTCTCTCTCTCCGTCACACCAGTCCACTGTGGCAGCATCAGGCAGACGGCCACCATCCTGACCATGAACAAAGACTGCCTGCGGACGGGGGACAAGGCCGCGGTCCACTTCCGCTTCATCAAGACCCCCGAGTACCTGCACTGTGACCACAAGCTGGTGTTCAGGGAAGGACGCACCAAAGCTGTGGGCACCATCACCAAGGTACCGGAGCTCTTCAGAACTCACTGTATTTCAGCGTCGATGTGACGAAGAGAAAACACGCTCGATTAATCCGCGCTTGTGATTTTCAGCTTCTCCAAGCAGTGAACACCCAGGCAGCTAAGGCCCAGCAGGCCAAGCTGCTGGCCAGTAAGAAGACCTTCAAAGAGGGCACAGCAGCCAATGAGGAGGCCGGATCGACGGCGCGGCCGCCGAGTCCCAACACAGCACAGCTACCAGTGAGTACCTGCATGGTGTGTAGTACGTTAAAGGTACGTGATGACAGAACTGAGTACATAATGCAGGACACTTCCCTTTGATTCAGGGTTAGGGTTCCTGTCTTAAGGGTGCTGTTCTTTATTTAACTTATCATATTTAAAAACATCTTAACAATAAAGGAGACTCTTCTGTAACTCCGCTCCAATTTGGATCATTTTCTGCAACACACTTTCTGTTTGAATGTTAAGTCATTTAAAATGCTGCTTGTTTCCTTTTCTTCCTGCTTCTGAGTCTTTAAATGTGTCGGTTCATTTCTCCTTCACTGTCCCGTCTCTTACTGGTCCTGATCCGTCTGTTCACCCCCCCCCCCCCCCCCCCCATCAGATCCTGCTCTCATCTCCCCTTCACAGTTGAAACAGTACACCCCCCCGCGTCACTCTTCTTCATTCCCCCCCTCTCTTGTCTGCTGTGTGTGTTTGACTTTAACGCTTCTCTTCTACCGTGTCTCCTGCTCTTCCCTCTCTTCCCTCTCTCCATGCCTCGCTGCGTCAGACAGTGGCAGAGGAGGCGGCTCTGTGTAAAGACGGCAACAAAGAGAACAAGGTAAAGGTTCCTGCACGGTCGTGACGGCTCCTTATCTTCAGAGCTCTTCCCTTCTGACGTTCTGAGACGACGGGAACGTCTGCGTCAAAATACTGACATCAAAACAGTATTTTGATGAGAGGTTGTTTTTGTAACTCATTTATAAATCCCATTTTTTCCTTCCTGATACCGATAACGTTAACATGAACTGAGTGTCGACTGGATACCAGTGTGTTAAAAACAACAGGTCATAATCCTCTAATGTCTCTTTATGTTGCTGTGAAAAAAATCTCAATTTATTTTAAGTTTCTCGACCAAAGCAACATTTAAAAAGATGATCAGATGTCATGTTCTTGTAGATATCTGATCCAGTGTTTAAGGCTGCATCAGAGGCCTTTCTGACACGCATGGTTCACAAAGTATTACTTTTTAAAAGGTTGTGATCTAACTTACCTTTTATTCCTTCCTCCAGAGGAATAGAATGATCCAAGTCTTTACCTTCTGAACCTTCTAAGTTCAGACGAGTGAGACGTTCTGCCGCCGTCTTCAGCTTCTCCCCTGACGTCATGTGACGGCCGGCTCACTCTGTTGTTCCCGTCTTGTGTTGCAGCTCAAGTCGGGAGGCGGAGGACGCCGGCGAGGCGGTCAGCGGCATCGAGGGAAAGGTCTGAACGCGGCGACGATCTCCACAGCGGTGCCTGCAGGAGCAGCAGGGACCGCCTGAACACATCATCTCTGTTGGGGGGGCCTGCATGGCCCTCTAGTGGCTGTGTGCAAAGACTGACTGCCCAAGTTTCTTTAACATGAAACCATAATTCAACTATTTGCTTCCAGAAAGCGATCGATTTTCCACATTAAGTTCATTTCAATCTTTATTTGTGTCGGGTATATTTGAGTTTTTTGCAGTTCTGAAATGAGTAGACTACTTTACACAACCTTTTTCTATTAGAATACAAACTTCTTTTATAGCATTAAGCCCCCCCCCTGGCCAGCGGAGGCATCAGTCACTTTCCCTGCCTGAACTTTGGACATAATATAATGTTTTGTTGTTGTTGCCACTCGTTCTCTTTTCCTCATTCTTCACCTCCACCTGACTTACATTAGTGCATCCTCTTCAGACGGCGTTGTAGAGTTTTGCGTACTGCCACGCCGGCCACATGAAGAAGTTCTGTTCGGTAGAAAAGCTCCTCGTCATTGAGACGATAGAGTCCATTTATGGAATTGACGGTAATATCAGGAGTATTCATGTCCGTGACGTGAAGCAAAACATTTAATAGATCGGGTTTGTTCGACGCTCGTTCGTAGCTCTGAAGCCGGGTTACTCTACCGTTCTGTAGGGCGGCAGCTAAAATCATCGTCTGGAGATTTGCTTTCCCGGTGTTCTTAAAACATCTCGTCGTGGATAAAGAGTAAAGTCGCCTACTTAGTTTACCAGGAAATATCTCGACCCAGTCTGACCACTAAATATCCAGAAGCTGACAATCTCGCGCACAAATACATCCAGCGGTGGTGTTGCACACCTTAAATGTCAGAAAGCCAAGTGAGAACATATTTAATTCATAATAAAATGATGCAGATGTGACTCGAGTGCACATCATCTCGTCCTGCTCGATATTAATCAGAATGTGGCTGCGAACCAGATATTTCAAAGCTTCAAAGGGCAAAACTAAACGTCCGTCAGACACAGGAAGTGAATGTTTTTCATGTGACCCGAGATAAAAATCTCTTATATAAACTATATCAATAATTTACAGTTTCAACTCTAGTAGTCCATCGGCCAGATAAACCGTTTGACAGAAACGGTGTGATGTTTTTGTTGAAGGTATGAAACGTGGAAAAAGAAGCAGCGCAGAACACTCCCATTCAAATCAACAGCAGGATGGTCAGAGCGGCGGCCATGTTTATGTGTTGCCACTGTGATCGTTGTAGCGGGCTAACTTTTACATAAACTAAACTGTGTTAAGGAATGTCGCGAACTTACAGTGGAGTAACGTTTCGAAGAGTAGAGAATAAACGAGTGACAACTTTGTACGGCTCACTTTCTGTAGCCGGTGTAGCATGAAAGCGTCGTGGAATTACCACACTAGCTAGCGTACAGCTGGCCAGTGAGCTAGCTAGCGTACAGCTGGCCAGTGAGCCAGCTAGCGTGGTAATTTCGCCATGCTGTAATGCTACACTGGTCACAGAAGATGCGACCGAAAAGCAGGCTGGAGTCTTGGCGGTCGTTCTGCCTCACTTCTCGCCGCTCCAGAGGACAAGCTAACTAGCTAGCTAGCTGAACACTCGACGCCCCAGTAGTCCATTTTGCTCCTATTCTATTTCTGTGGTCACGCAGTGTACAAGTTAACAATGCAAGTCATCTTAGATGGTCTCTACTAAGCTAACACAAACCATTGACCACATCCAGCTGAGCTAAAAGTAAATGAGTTGCCACATTTTATTGCAACAGACAACTACAACCTTTGGTTTGCGGTTTCTCCTCTGGTTTTATCTAAATGTCTGAAGGTAACTGAAAAGTTTTTTGGGGATTTACAGTTTCAGGTTTTCTTCTTCAAAAGCCCCAAAGTCCTCTCACACACATGCTGATTTCATGCTGGTCAGTCTGTTCTGAATTCCCCGTTTTATAAAGATCACAAACGTACTGAACTGCCACATTTTTACACCTTTTCTTTTGTTGAAAAGTCATGTTTTGTTTGTAAAAATACAGCGTTGTGGAGAGGAACTAAGGATGAGAATAATATGCCATTTAAATTTAAGTGGTGCCAGTTTGTGTTGTAAATCCTTTTAAATAAAGATGTTATAGAAAAGTGACACGTGGATCATACTTTATTTTTTTACATTTGAGACACTTAGATGATTCGCACATCGAGTCTACATTAGCTTGTAGATGCCGTTTGACCTCCTTTATTATATTGCTGGTTGTTTACAAGACAAATATACATTGCATACCCAAAGTCCTTTACAGATAACACAGAAAATAAATGATAAAAGACTAACAGTGAGCAAAACCCGAATAACCATGCACACCTAAATACAACAATAAAACAAGTTAAATTAAAAGCAATGGGAAACAGGGAGTTCTTTAGCTTGGGTTTATAAGTAGTCAGCGTTATCTAAAGCGGGGCTCTTCTGGGACCAGTAATCCAGATCCGGCTGGACTGAGAGGTCCTCGAGGCTCCTGCTGGGTCAGGAGATGTGATGAGTATCTAAGACCTAAACCGTTGATTCTTTGAGAAACTTCAAACACAATCGACATGACCGACAGGAGATGTATGGGTTCAATACTTCAGCTTTATTGTTGGTGGAGTCTATAATCACAGCAGGAAGCTGTGGAGAGAGATTTTAAATCGCTTTCACACCAACGCTCACACAAACAACAATGTCACGGCCTCGGGACTCTGGATGACGGCAGCCCGCCGTCGATGCGAAGGCCTTTCAATCAAATCCCTTCAATAGTTCAGAAAGAGTCACCCTTCCAGTCATCATTGTTTTCAAACACCCTTCAGCTTTAATGTGGTTGTCTGTAACAGCTGATTGCTTCGCTAACGTTTCAATCAGAGTTTCGCTCTGTGAATCTCGGTGTCGGCTCATATGGAAATGGAAATGTTGTGCGATGCGGAGCCCCGGAAGCAATGAGCGACGTGATGAATGCAGGTTGCACTCTTTCAACAGTTTATGAAAGTATTAAACTAAAAAAAACATGTCCCTGTGATTCTGTTCAGGGAGAAGAGAAAGCAGTGAAGGTGAATACACAAAAGGGAGTTATGGGAATAAACAAACAGCACGTGTCCGTCTGATTTGATTGGCCTTACGTCAGTGAGCGGGACCGAATGGACCGAATGGGCCGAGTGGCTGGCACAATGTGCAGTCATTGTTTCCTCTCGGGCGTGATATGAAGGGGCTTTGATTGCTTTAGTGGAGATCTTCAAAGGGCGAAGATGTATTCATTGTGATGCGGCGCAGCGTCACGCGCACATTTTCAGTCAGCAACTTTGGTGTCCAGAGTTAATCTATTAAGAAATATAAGACTACTGTGACTTTTTAGGACTCACAATTTAATGACATATTATACAATGACTTTATGACTTTTTTGAAAAGTACCTCTTATCGACTTATGGGATACTATACAATATGTTTATTACACTTTGGAACTGTCTGAGGTGAGCGGTACCATGAATAGCTCCGCCCGCCAACTGGAGACCGAAAGGCAGCACCTTGCAGCCTGTCGTCGACTGAGAGACATCGCACTTATTAAAGCACCTAAACACAGACTCAGTGCACGAGCCTCTGTCAGCATCTCCTTTTAACTCTGATGAACAGAAATAAAGCAAAGGGATGAAGCAGAAAAGCAGAACGAGTCTATAGTTCAATAAAATAATGCTTTGAAATGGTCTATTGTGTACAATGAGTGCTTTTACTGTCTTATTAGTACTTTTAAAAGTACTATTCAGTGAAGGAGAAGCAAACTGACGCACACATGTATGGATCTCCAGCTGCACACAGGAAGGTGCTGGATGTGCTCACAGAGATATTGATCTGTTGATTGACAGTCAGATGGACCAGTGGGTTTGTGTACACGCCTCACTTAAAGCGTGGGCAGGACTGAAAGTGTTGATGCAGCTAAAATTGATCTGAAGCTGTCAAACAGTTCCACACAGACTGCAGTAGTTCTAGTAGTATAGTGAGTAGCTGTACCTGCTGCTGTAACACTATCAGAAATAATAAGACGACACTGACAGCATTCATCTGACAGGAACAGCTCAGCCCGTCATGGAAACAGTCCTATAATCTGCAATCAGCAGCTTCTTATGAAATCAGATACGATCAGCTTCACACAACCGCAGTTCAGAGAGTTACGTGTAAAACTAAAGACCAGCAACTCATCAGTGAAGACGATCAGAGCAGAGAGCTCACAAATATTTCTCTTGTTATGTTGTGATGTGATCACACCGGCCGAGACGCCAAGTCAGGCCAGAGGCGTAACGTGAGGGGGCCAATGGCAACTCCCCCCCTTCATGTGATCTCAACAATGTACATTAAGTACATTATCAATAAGGTGCAGGGAACCTTTCCATTGATTTATGTATTTATTGATTTCAGTTTAAATTCATATCAATGATTCGTGTTAAGTTTTTGAAAGGTATATGTCGGCGGTCAGCATATTTTACAAAACTCCCTATTTACATGCGTCCAGCAACACGTGTCAATTTACGTCCTTCACATGGAAACAGTCTTTTCAAAGTGAACATCCGTCGTCACAGGAAACCACCGAGTTAAGTTAAAGTAAAGATGGTGAAATACTTATGATAAAGTTACAGTTCCTGTACTTTACTGCTGCGGTGAGGATTTTCCTTGTATTGAGTGCGTCCTACTTCTTCTTCTTCTTTCCTTTCTTTTCAAACTAACCGACACACACGTACACACACTCCCACACGCACACGCACTCTTACACTTATTTCATACCCACGTGTGGCGTGTAAGCCCGACCTCTATTGTGTGTTTTATTCCCCGTTAAATAATTGTGGCCTAGCCGCCATTATGGAGTATTTCGTGACGGGACTACTTTATGTGAACACGTCCACCATCTTGTTTCCTCTCCCTCTCCTTCCACACACACACACACACACGTGATTGTTTGTGTTGTATGTTGTCTGCTCATAGTTGTATAGTAGATGTTTGTTGATTTATATTATTGGTTTCAATCAGTGATGTAAAGGAAGTAACCTCTTATATGTTAAGCAGCAGATTCTGTGATGATGTCGTGCGTGTGTGTTGCAGTAATAGCTGGTTGTTTTAGTCAGAGCTCAAATTCAACCCTTCACTGTTCACTCTGGACGTGGATCAGTACTTTGGTGGCTGCATGCTGTCAGAAACGTGCTGAACACAGCAAAATAAGAAGAACAGAGAAAACACAGACACCACCACACGCTTCTAGTGGGTCACAAGAGACGATGGAGAGGAACTCTTTTATTACATTTGTATTTTTAGACAATTCTACCTTTTAATACAAAATACTACTTTGATGTGGACGACACCGTTATGATTAGTTCTGCCTCATCCTCAGCTAATGAATTCAAACACTTTTATTTCAGAAGTGGAATCTAACATGTTGGCATTGACCAATGAATATTGCAGAATTATGAAATCACTATGATTATAGACAATACTACGCCTCACACGGGGCACCACTATGTTGCAGTTTGAGCTGGTCTGGTTGTTAGGAAATGACAAATATATGTATATTATCAATAGAACTAATATTGAAAAATATAAGATTTCACTAATAATGGGGAACCAAAATAATGCTGGTTCAGTAGTTCAAAGAGGAATTAAAATGTCTACGAAGTAATTATTTATTATCACAATAATATAATGCAATTAACATTAAATTACCTTTCTTAACCAAAGGAAAAGACTGATACAGAGAATACTAAACCACCAATTTAGAACTTTGATTAATATTCAAGTTAATAATTCGAACCAAATATGACCATATCAGCAGCTGATGAAGTCTTTCAGAGTTGCTGACTATAGTAGAAGTAGTTTGTAGCTGTAAGTGTTGTGATGTCTTGACAAGCGGTTGTGTTCTAACTCAAAATAGTATATTTAGATTCTTTAAACAAAAGGTAAACTTCATTCCAGCCGAAAGCCGCTACAAAAACCAAACATAAGTATCTTCCGTTTTCTTCGGGTTCGTTGTCTTTAATGTAACATATACCTCTTCTTCTTGGTGCGCTCCTGTCCTCCTCTCTCCAAACATTTCCTTTCTTGTTCCCACACCAACCTCTCCCGGGTAATCAGTCCCCTCTCTTTCAGCTGGCCACTGCCTTGGCCCCGGCTGCCCTGCCGACTATGGGAATTGTAGTTCATTACCCCGATGCCATGCTGGGTTCTAGTCCTTGCTGCAACCACCGGGAGGGGATGTATCTCCCGTTGATGACCCTCCCTCTCATGACATCACATTTCCCCCTCCACTGGATTGAGGCTTCCGGGGGACCAGAAGTGGCCCACAGGACATCTCTTCATGAGAGGGCATCTGCATTCCCATGGTTCCGGCCTGCCCTGTGAACAACACAGAAGTGAAAGGCTTGTAGGCTGAGAAAACACCTTGTTACCTGACTGTTCGTTTCTTTATTTCTTGCCATCCACTGCAAAGGCGCATGGTCCGTGATCAGTGTGAATTTCCGCCCAATGAGGTAATAGCGAAGGGTTACGAGGGCCCACTTAACTGCCAGACATTCTTTCTCCAGTGTAGAATATCCTTTCTCATGGGGCAATAGCTTCCTGCTACTGTAGAGGATGGGGTGCTCCTCCCCCTGCTGTACCTGGGAGAGTACTGCCCCCAAACCCACCTCTGAGGCATCTGTCTGAACCGCAAACTCCTTGTTTAAGTTGGGACTGCGAGCACGGGGTGGGAACACAAGGCCCTCTTGAGGCTCATGAAGGCCTCCTCTGCCTTCTGGGACCACTTCATCATTCGGGGCAGTCTCTTAGCTGTTAGGTCTGTTAGAGGGGCAATAAGATCAGAAAAGTTAGGAACAAAGCACCTGTAATAGTTGGCAAGCCCAATAAAAATTTCACTTGTCTCTTTGTGACAGGACGTGGCCAGTCTTGGATGGCCTTCAGTTTGGCATCTTGGGGTTTGACAAGGCCCCGGCCTATTGTGTATCCGAGGTACTTGGTTTCACTATATGTAGCCTACACTTGCTGGGATTAGCTGTGAGACCTGCTTCACGAAGGGCATCCAGCACCTTCTGCACCTGAGGCAAATGATTTTCCCAATCCGTGCTGTGTATCACTATGTCGTCTAT